GAGGTGGGTGGTGTCAAACTCTGGGTGACCATCACCATCGATCCCGTAAGTTCGATATCTAAACTTGGGCTCTAACGATCGGAATAGCTGATGATGTTTACTTCCTCTAGCATGGAGAAGGCATATAGCATAATAGTATGTAGTCTGAGGAAAACAAAATTTTGTCGCCCAATATATGTTGTTGTTTGTTTATGTTGTCACTTCAATATGTCGATGTTCGACCACCTCCCGCCGTTTGTGCCACCAGAGTCTTTTGTCCAAGCAACAAGCAACCTCTTTTCAACCCAGAGGCATGCAGCAGCCCTGTATGCGATGTACCTCACTGGCACGCACTTCTGACTATCCAGCATCTGACACATTATTTTTGCATTCCCACACCGCACATAGCTGAGGCTTGAGTTATTTTACAGCGGTTTTGTTGCGCGTGTACTTAACTAACGGTAGTAGTACTAGCACTAGTACCGGGAGCAGACTGGTGTTCTTGCTCTTCAAGTTGTCGAACGATTTCCAGATCTGGCCCATCCACTAACGTATCCGCGACATCCATAGCATCCCACCAGGGTAAGGTTTCAGTGATTCTCATCTTCTCCTCCACTTCCGCCTTGATTACCGGGCTCGTTAGGGATCTTGGGATTGGCAGCCTTGGGAGTCGCTGTGAAAATGTGTTGCCATCGTAATTTGCATGTTTTGCAGGTTTGTGGGTGTTTTGGGCATGCATTCTCTTGCGCTTCAGGCATGCCCTCGCTTCCATCTCTAACCTGCGACTTTTATCCGAGGCATAAAGGAATTTCACAAACTTAGTATATAAGTTAGTGTCCTGGTAAGTTTCAAAGTTTTGGGTTATGACTCACCTTGGCGCTTCTCCACAGGTTTTGTCTGCGGACCAGGATTTTTTCATGCCTCAGGCCTTCGGTGGTTGGGGTCTCGACTTCCGTGTCGTTGTCGGAAGACATATGGTCAGTAAGTATAACCGACTCCATCTCGTCCTCCGTGGCTTTGACTTTACCCACTAACCCTCCTATGCCTTCACGTCTCCTGGCGGCTTTCTGGAGACAAACTTGATTAACATTAATATTGCCAGTCATCAGGCAAGGATCGGCATACTGCTTTCAATCGTGCCATAGTCGTGTTTCTTTGTTGCGAGTTTGCCAGACTTTGACGACCGGCTTCCGTCTGTGATCTTTTCCACTTCAATTTGAGGGAATTGAAGTACTGCTCAGCTGCGTTATGAACATCACTCTGATCAATCCTTCGTTCATCAATGTAGGCCTTTATCATCTGTGCTGGGTGTCAGGAGTTGTGCAAGGGTATGGGTCACTTTCACGCACTGAATCATTCATACTGAACCTAACTGTTTCGCTGATCACTCGTTGATTGATTTTTTCCTTAACTCCCAACTGCCAGTTCGGGATCAGGAGGGGGTCCCCATTTTCTCTGCATGGTGTGGGAGCACCCTCTGGCAAAGGTGAAGGAAGATCTTCAGCATTTGGCTTTCGTATATTGCAGCCAATCACGTCACGTAGTGCCTTTCGCACTGGGTCCTGGAACCCAACGCTGGATCAGTTGGGCCCCTCAGCTGGTATATGCGACTCACCCGTCCGTTCGCCGGCCACTTGTCCTTTGCCTGGCCTCTCCTGCTGCTTGGCTCAGTATGACTGTTTGTGGTGGCGCTGGTGGTATTTTCGTTCACTTGTTGCGATAACTGTTCTAATTGTTGCGCCATAGTTATCATTTTTTCGTCTACCTGCTTTTGGACGAAATCATTTATCAACTTTTCGAAAGCTTCCTGAGTGGGTGGGGGTCCATATGGCGCAAGGTTATTAACCGGACTTGCATCCTGGAAGTGAGTGCCAGGACTCGCAAAACTTTGGCTCATGGAATACTGTTGCATTATAGCGGGGGTCGGCATACCTGAAGCATATCACGTAAGTGCTGGTTTCTCAGTGGTTTCAGGCAACTTACCAGGAGGATTCTGGCTGTAGGGAGGTCCTCTACTGTTTTGATGATAATTTGCAAGAGTCGGAGCAGCACTTGGGATACCTAAAACGTGTTTGGTAAAGATTTTTAGCGGTCTTTTCTGCCCTATTATTCATCTGTTAACACCCACTCATGTTTAGTCCATAATGGCTTGATCCTGACCATGGAATGGACGATGGGGATGGGGAAAATGCAGCGTGGGGGCCCAGGGGGGCATATGTGCCAGATGTCCCGGTACTGGTTGCATGTCCGTACAGGTCCAGCTGAGGGGCGGAGTTGGTTCTGCTCATTGGGGAGGGCGAGGTGGATGGGGCATTGAGGTCGTTTCCTTCAGGACTGGTACTAGTAGTACTAGTACTGTTTGGCGTGTTCATCACTCCGTTCTTCTGTACATCCAATGAGGAAAGCGCAAAGGGGCAAGCAGCTGGCGCACGAATAATAATTAATACCAATATATTAATACTAATTGTATCCGGTTCGGATCCAAAAGCCCCAGTTTCGGGCTCTTATTCCGAGTCTGTAATATCCCATGAAATATTCAGTCACGTTTACTACCAGACCTGGTCGTTGCCCCACTAAATCCGGTCAGTGCAATCACTGTGCTATCCTCTGTCAAAGTGTGTGGGAGTTTCTGAAATATTCTGCGCTTGCTCTGCAATCATCAAGTGTGCGATACACCAGAGGATATTAGTAATATTTCTGTACTATCCGACCGTGGATAATCTTCCCCTAAACGCAGTGAATGCTACAAGGCTTCCCCTCACTTTCCTATTCAATTTTCAGACTTTCCCATCAATTCAGTTCTCATTATTTCTCAGGTCTCCAAAAGTATTTTCCATTTTTCTCCATCATTTCTTCCTCAATTTCACAAATAATTATATATCCTGAAAGCACTTCAAAGGCACTACAGTTCCTGAATTTTTTTGATTTTTCCCTAATTATTTTTTTCAACTTTTTGGAAGTCCCTATTTTTCAAATTTTCCTCATTTCCCTCTATATTCCCCCCTCATTCTCCCCCTCATTTCCCCCCTCATTTCCCCCCTCATTCTCCCCCATTTCCCCTTCCTCCATATTCTGCAAGTCCGAAAGTGATTAAGTTGCCAGATTAATCATATATCAGGCCATAAATTTTGACTGTGTATTGGTGAGTCTCAGTGTCCTTGATGTATAGTATAGTGTTTGACCTAAATGTTAAGTAGTGTCTTTGTCACGACCCGGCAATTCCCACAGTCAGGTGATCACTCCCCACATCTTCTCCCTCCCCTGCTTCGACCCCGTCAACCCCACTGCCCGCCTGACGCCGCCTGAACAAGCCCGTCACCCTTCCCCGTCACCGCTACCTGTTTCCACGGCCCGTCACGGGCCTACGAGTCTTTCCTTATCATGCTCGTTTATCTTGACGGCCGTGCACGGCCGTCCTTCTCCCACACTCTTTGTTTGTTTTTGTTCCTTCTTAACCCCGCCCGCAATCTCCGTGAGATCTGGCGACTTATTTCTATTCATTCCGTTATACTTAAATACCGGTTGTACGCTACCTCGTACTTTAGTTCGAAAATCAACTAGGGTTACCCCCTGCACTCTCTGTCTGACCCAGTTGCACCTCCTGCCTCCTGAAATATCGGGGCCACATCAAGTACGAGGCGCAACGCTCACAAATGAGTCGTTGAAGCCGAAACCCCTTCCGCCGCGATTGTCATCCCCGCCCTTGACGGGCTGTTACACCGAAGCAGCGGACCTTAACGGTCGCCGACGGCGAGTCACGGTAACATTTCCCACGCCCTGACAGTCTTGTTGTGTTAGTCTTGTGGTAGGAGGTATTCATGGGGAGTGTTCCCTCTTTTTTTTTTCCTTTTCATTTTCAAATGCTCCAGGAGCTCCCAGAAGCTTCTCACCCCTATACATTTTGAAGCATTAAATTGTATTTACTGGATATGTTTGTGCACAAAGCAATGCTCCATGCCCTCCTGGGAGTGCCCTGGAGTACCTGACCAACTCCAGAGGAAATGAGCTGTTCCTGGACCGGCCAATCTACTCCTGATTCTCCCAGTGCTCCCCATACTCCGGAGCACTCAGGAACATAACAATTTTTTGCTGATGAAGCAAGGTAGACAAGCAAAAACTTCAACAAAAAACAGCATGCAGGCCAAAGGAACGAGACTAAGGAAGAGAAACAAGGGAAACGTCTTCAGCAGAGGATGAGGTAGAAGAGGGCTAGAGCCCTGTAGCATGGGCGGATGAAAAACAGGCACAGGATTCATCTGAAGAAATTGACCCAAGAATGCAGTGGCAATAAACCTGAATCGGCATGACTGTAACCTCGGAAGGCACAGTATGCATAAGGCCGACAGCGGGTACGGCACATAAGATAAAGCATCACCGGGGAAAGTGCCAAGCGCGAAAGAAAAACAGAAAGAGAGCGTTTAGTCCGACCGCACACAAGTCTAATTTAATCTCGTACCTCCATTAAATATCAATTAATTTAAGAGTGAATCAGATTTCCAAGGAATCATGATTCATTGACGGATGTATGTTTCAGGAAATTGATGCAGATCCTATTATTATGTGGCCATGACAGGGGATTTGGAGCGGACGTTGGATATGACTCCTGTCACTTGCGAATCGTGCAGGCCGGGAGGATTTTCCCCCATGAGACACCAAGCTTACAGCTCATAGGCTGTGTGCAAATTCACGGATGAGGGCGTAAGCCACACTGAGAATCGTGAACAATGGGGGCAGCTAGAAAACGGTTCTTTATGAAATATAACGCAAGCGACTTCATCTATTCATCAAAGATATACAACTTCCTGGTTTAGCGTTATCTTTGCCAATGAAAGCGTTTCTCCGTAAGACGATCAGTCAATAAGATCAATCCATTTCGTTCATGGTGTAAGCGTGGCTACGAGAGACCGGGTCGCCGGCCGACAGCAAGGCTGCACGCAGGCGAACCCTCCGTTCATTAAGGGCTTGGAGACTTCAGAAAGAAATTCTCGCTCAGTTGAGTCCCCGAAAAGAGGGATGACTACTTACCCGTCACGGCGGAACAAATGTCCGAGCTCATGTATCCCAGCATTCACGAGGGCAGATCCCGCACCTGAAGCGAAACCATTAAAGGCCTGACTACCAATGCCACGTTCCTCGAAAGCGCGCCCGTCGAGTGCCGCGAGCCTGTGAATGATGGGATACAGTTCAACTTGTTGCATCGAAATTATGTGATTGCGCACTCACTCGTCACGGTGGTGGAACAAATGTTCGATTCCAGTTACCCCAGCATTCACGAGGCCAGATCCCACACCTGAAGCGACACCGTTAATGGCCTGGCTACCATACCCACGTTCTGCGAAAGCGCGCCCGTCGAGTGCTGCGAGCCTGCGAATGATGGGACACCGTTCAACTTGCTGCAACGAAATTATGTGAGTGCGCACTTACTCGTCACGATGGTGGAGCAAATGTTCGATTCCAGTTACCCCAGCATTCACGAGCCCAGATCCCACACCTGAAGCGACGCCATTGATGGCCTGGCTACCATACCCACGTTCTCCGAAAGCGCGCTCGTCGAGTGCTGCGAGCCTGTGAACGATGGGATACAGTTCAACATGTTGCATTGAAGTTTTGTGACTGCGCACTCACTCGTCACGGTGGTGGAGCAAATGTTCGATTTCATTTACTCCGGCATTCACGAGGCCAGATCCCACACCTGAAGCGAAACCGTTAATGGCCTGACCACCAGCGCCACGTTCCTCGAAAGCGGGCCTGTCGAGTACCGCAAGCCTGCGAATGATGGGACACCGTTCAACTTGTTGCATTGGAATTATGTAACTGCGCACTCACCCGTCACGGTGATGGAAGAAATGTTCGATTCCATTTACCCCAGCGTTCACGAGGCCAGATCCCACACCTGAAGCGAAACCATTGACGGCAGAACTACCGGCGCCACGATCCCCCAAAGCGCGCCCGTCGAGTGCCGCGAGCCTGCGAATGATGGGACGCCGTTCAACTTTTTGCATTGAAGTTAATGTGACTGCGTACTCACTCGTCACGGTGATGGAAGAAATGTTCGATTCCATTTACCCCAGCATTCACTAGGCCAGACCCCACACCTGAAGCGAAACCATTAACGGCGGAACTACCAGCGCCACGGTCCCCCAAAGCGCGCCCGTCGAGTGCCGCGAGCCTGTTAATGATGGGACACCGTTCAACTTGCTGCATTGAAATTATGTGACTGCGCACTCACTCGTCACGGTGGTTGAGCAAATGTTCGATCCCAGTTACCCCAGCATTCACGAGGCCAGATCCCACACCTGAAGCGAAACCGTTGATGGCCTGACCACCAGCGCCACGTTCCTCGAATTCGCGCCCGTTGAGTGCCGCGAGCCTGTGAATGATGGAACACAGCTCAACTTGTTGCACTAAGATTATGTGACTCTGCACTCACCCGTTACGTGCATGCTTCGGCTTCGAACCATGGCGATGATGACCATGATGATGATGGTGGTGGTGGTGGTGGTGGCGGAATGGATGGAACCGTTGAGCAATAACCCCGTTCAACCTGTTGGAACAACATTTGATGATCAGCTCCTCCGCAGACACTAACACAGTAAATGTTTGCGACTCACTCGTCACGGGCCTCTTCAGGAGCGCGGTTGAAAATGGACTTCCCGCCATCGGTGCGCTCTTGGTTGGCATTGGCAGCGGAAGGCGCCTCAACAACAAGCGGCGCGGCGAAAGTGGGGGCAGCAAGGAGAGCAGCAACAGCGATGGAAGTGGAGGTACGCATTGTGGATTGATTTTAGAATATAATCAAGACAAGGACGTGAATTTGGCGTGGTGTTCGCGAAGCGTAAGGATAATGCAAACTTAAGTGAAATCAATATGTGCATCCTGACTGGGGAGATCTCGCTTACTGTGGCCTGCACAGAAAGTCCCAAAAGGAAGATTTGAACAAAGAGAAGAAGAAAGCTTGCAACGAACGAGTTGTTGTGGGACTGAGACCAGCAGTGCAGAACCGAGAGCCTTGAAACTTTCCCCTCTTTATCCCATCTCAAGTGCTGTGTTTCTTTGTGGCCGAAGAACGAGTGGACTTTCCATCACGATGGGTGAGGTCAAGCTGCTCATGCGATGATCACCTCCGTAGCTCTAGCCACAATTCTTCCAAAACTTCCCACGATGTTCCATCTGAGTCGCCCACCGCACTTTGCTCGGCTCATGCAGAAACCCTCGGGCATGTACCGCTGATGCTTTCCCCAAGTTTCATTCTACATGTGGACTGACTAGCAGATCCGAATTTCCCAGAGTTTCTGTTGGAGATCATCGTTGCTAACGATGTTTATTCTCAATTAGTTGCTTCAACGCGGTATCATTGGAGATACTGCCAAGACCAATGCTGTTGCTTTTGATTGATGTCCTTTTATTACGGGCTATCGCTATAGGCGCCCCGTCACATAAGACGCGATGCGCGACGATTTTTGGAACTCCCTCAGTTCAACCGTGATACGAGTACGTCGAGTGCAGTCTGACCCCACCAAATTCCAGACCAGAGGACGGCAGACTCACACCCTATGCAATTTAGTCTACATCCGGGCTGACACCGGCGATGTCAATCTGGTAAGCTCCGATCAAAAGCTTGGCGTCATTCCTGACGCCATCAGGCAGGTTAACACCAGTAACTGCCTGATGCGGCAGAATCCGCTACTCTTTCGCATTTTGGGATTGGCACTGATCAGGGCTGAATGTGGGTTTATACTTTTTTGGGTTTGGTTTGGAGTGCGAGATGACCAAGGTCAAAGGACTCCGGAAAGGAAGAGAATTTGCGATAATAGTGGACCTCGTTCTTCATCTGTTTTGCAGGGCCCGCTAGTAGCATACAGGAATACCAGCCTCTGTTGGAATAGACAACGCCACCGGCACTGGGTCTCGATCGGGCCCACAAGTGGGAAATTCGCCAAAAACGGAGCACCTTATCATCGCACGTTGTGCGCTCGTAGCGAAGTCTTAATTCGTTCGGTGCTTCTACTCTTGGTATTTAAGCCTTGTCCACCGGTCCCGAAACTTCATTGCCACTTTCCTACTCAACACTGGCGTGATATAATTGTCTAGTATAGAATTCGCAGGGACATTATTCATGAACTCCGCCTAGCTTATCATGACCAAGCCCCACCGCAAAGGAGGTATTCTGTGAGAGAACTAGCGTTACAGATTAGCGCTCAGTTCACGATAGTGTAACTTGATTGTCAAGAAGTATTACCTAGCGTTACAGATTAGCGCTAGACAATGAAAGACATTAAGCAAAGGTCTAATGAGACCAAGAATGAGACCTCACCTCAGTTCACGATAGTGTAACTGAGGAGAGAGGAAAAAACGGTCGCGACGAGTGGCTTTTAAGCCTACAACGCCGCCTATCAACAAGAAAGGTAGAGAATAATGGTAAATCTCCTGCGGCTGGTGAGTCCGTGCGCCATAAAGGTGGGACATCGACCTTGTCTCTAATACCCCCACTCGACATGCCATCTCACTCTCCCAAACCCATATCCTTCGCAAATTCTCAACCTTTTCCTTCGACAGCACCTTGGTGAAGATGTCAGCTAGTTGATCGTGAAGAAATTTCACGTTGCCCCATGGGACTTACTCCGTGAGATCCAACTGAATGATACAGTTAAGGTCACAAGACAAGGACATACAGTAAAATCATGGACAAGCCTGGCATCGAAACCAGGACCTCTCAGTGTGCTACCATTACACAACTCGCCCATTTGACCATGCCGGTATAGGCTGTTAAACTCTATACCGATGGGAACAGATATCCATTCTCCAACAGATCGTTTGTAGGAATGTATTCTAATGTGATTTTCTTGTTTTTGATGCATTCACGGATGAAGTGGTGATGAATACCGATGTGTTTTGTGTGCGTGTGAAAAGCGGGATTGTTGGCGAGAGCGATTGCACCTTGATTGTCAACGAGTAATGTGGTCGGAATGGGAATGGAGAATCCTAGGTCAGAAAGGAAATGCTGTATCCAAACAGCTTCTTTAGCAGCATGAGTGGAAGCCATGTACTCCCCTTCAGTACTGGACAGTGCAACCAAGGACTGCTTCTTAGAACTCCAACTAACTGCTGCTCCTGCCATTTTAAAAACGAAGCCAGAAATTGACTGGCAATCACGAGAATCTCCTGCCCAATCCAAATCCGAATATCCACTTGTGTTGCCTTCCTTTGAATTGCCATTGTATGTTAATCCGATGTTGCGAGTAAGTCTCAAGTAGCATAGTAATCAATTAATTGCCATCAAATGTTCCTGTCCTGGATTTGCTGAATACTGACTCAGAGTGGTTATTGCATAACTGATGTCAGGGCGAGTTCCCAACATAGCGTACATCACTGAGCCAAGTTTAGACTGGTATTGGTGAGCATCAATCTGTGGCATGTCATATCGAGGTACTGTACTCACACAACCAACTACCGGTCACGCGTCACAGAGACCTCCCGGTCCAGTCGAAATTCAGGGTCTGTCACGCGTCACAGCCGGTTGGCGGTTGGGTGTTTGGGTGTCACACCAGTTTTGCTGAGGCAAGGTGGCTGTGCAAGGCAATTCAAATTTTCCATTTCTGGAATGTATTTACATTCAAAAATGGAAATTTTTCATTTGGTCTTCCAAGTTTCTTGTGTGCCTTGCTTGCATTCCACGGCCAAGTTCCTGCTCATGAATAGGCACAGGGAGTATGTGAACCTTGTAAATTTGTTTGGAGGACTGGAAGTGTAAACTGGATAAATTCAGTGACAGACAAGTTCCCATCTGGAAAGTAGGATCCAATAAAATCACCCAGGATGTCGCTATATGAGATAGTCTCATCCATACACAAAGCAATGCGGTGTGCAAGGGTAAAACCATTCATGAGATGATGCACAGATGCTCAGAAATTTTATGGGGGCAGTGTTTTCAAATGTTTAAATTTTAAATTCAAGGTGGTTAACAATTTAATATAAGTAATATAATTTGGACAACTCCGCAGTGCCCTGCCGGTTGGGTGTCACGCATCACAACAAGCTGCCGGTTGCCATTTATATCATGTGACAAGTCACGTGGCTGACTAAGCCGGTAGTTGGTCATGTGAGTACAGTAGTTTCAGGCCAAGAGCAGCTGGTGTTGAGACAAAACGTGAATCCAGAAAACCGAAGTGTCAAAGGATGTCTTCGATATAGCATGCCTGAGAGATATGGATAAGATGACGAGGCTGATCACATGTGATTTCGAGTCCGAGGAACCAGTGGATCTCTCCAAGGTCTTTCATCTTGAAGGCTGACATAAGGAGTTTCTTCTTCTTTTGAAGCAGGGAGAAATCGTTAGAAAGAATCATGAGGTTGTCAATGTAGAGCGCAATGATGCAAGTTAATCAGTGCTTAGTGTAAATGAATACCACATGGTCTGAATCACAATGGACAAAGCCGATCTTTGTCAACTCTTGCTTCACCTTCAAATACCACGCACAAGATGCCTGTTTCAGCCCATATAGGCTCTTCTCCAACTTCCAAACAATGTCGGACCTTCCATGATCAGCACTTCCAGGTGGAGGCTGCATGAAGATCTCGTGCTCTAACTCACCATTCAAGAAAGCCGTTGCCACGTCCATCTGATGATGTCAGGGTTCAGCACCCTGCCTTAGGGTGCCCCGGACTCCCCACCTACTTTACCCCCTTTTTATTCTTTGACTGTTGCCTTGTTGTTGCCTTTGTGTGTTGTGTACATGCGCGCATGGGATAGCGCGGGAACTTTCTGAGCGAGCAGCTCGCCCAGAATGTTCCCACGGGTCACAGCCACAGTTCTGGGCGAGCAACTCGCCCAGAATGTTCCCACGCTTGGCACTGCCACCTGGATGTTCCCTCCGGGTCACACTACACAACTCTAAGAGCTGTATAGTTGTGGGCATGTGACCCATTCCTTTATATAGCAACCATGCGGGGAGATGAGACCTTTACCCTTCTTCTCATCTCATGCCCCACATAGGCAAGTGTATATATTCCCTTTCTTTTACTATACATCTCATGCCCCGCATAGTGTGAGGACAGGTTAGATGGGGGCTGAGGTCAGGGAGCCTCCGAGTCCGAGGCCGGGCCCTGACAGATGAACTTCAAGATCTAGACATGCGGCAAGTGCAAGGACTTGAATGGAGGACCACTTTACAACTGGTGCAAAGGTTTCACTATAATCAATGTCATATACTTGACTGAAGCCCTTGGCGACAATGCGGGCCTTGTAACGTTCGACTTCTCCGTTTGGTCCTCATTTCAGGGCAAATACCCATCGACATCCAACAATGTTCAAAGCATCAATATCCCTTTTGTGGACTGGTACATACATTTTAGTTTCTTTGAGAGTGGTGAGCTCATTCAAACACGCTTCCAGCCATGCATCAGAGTCAGGGTGATTCATAGCCTCGTTATAAGTTCGAGGCTCGGTCCCCAATGCAGTCATCACCCATGCTGCCCCCACTGACTCAGGGTCCTTAGGTCTATTGTAGGATGAGATATTAAATTGGTTGTCGTCATCAGGAATGGGGGCATGGCGTATACAAGTGGATCGTTGGGGAAGTTCAGTGAGTGTCCTTCCATCTCCTTTGGCCTCTAAATTTTCATCCCTTTCATCTAATCCTTCCTCTTCCTTCGGCACTTCATCATCTCCATTCCTTTCTACTTCCTCTCCTTCATCCATTGACACAATTACATGTGTCATCAAACCCACCTTTGGCACTTCAATTGTTACTCGCTCCGGTTCAGAAACACCCTCAAAGAAATGAATGTCCCTTGATTCAAGGACTTTATGCATCACAGGGTCATAGACCAAGAAGGCCTTCTTGCCTGGCGCGATGCCAAGGTGAATACCGGCGAGTGATCGATCATTGAGTTTGTTTCAGCGATCTTTGGGGATATGGACAGTGGCTTTACAGCCAAAAGTCCGGATGGTGGAGATAGTGGGCGTGTTACCCGTGTAGAGTTGATGAGGAGTTATGTCGTTGGGGAGTGAGGAATGGGGTGAGATGTTTTTGATAAGAGTGGCATGTCGAAGAGTGTAGGGCCATGCGGTACATCCAACTTGTGATTCTATTCCTTTTAACATCGCAATGGCCATGCTGACTAAAGTTTTGTTGACTCGTTCGGCCACTCCATTCTCTTGTGGAGTCTGGGGATTTGTCTTCTCGTGGATGATGCCGATGCTCTTAAGGTAAGTAGTGAATTCGTTGGAGAAATATTCACCTCCTCCATCTGTCCGCAGAACCTTTAGTTTTCATCCCATCTGTCTCTCCACCTCGGCAAGAAACTCCTTGAACCTTTCAAGAGCATCACTTTTGTTCTTCATGGGATAAACTGTAAGGTAATGGCTGTAGTCGTCCACAAAGGTAATAAAATACTTATACCCTTCACACATTACTGTTTGAACTTCACAGACATCAGAGAAGATTCGGCCAAGTATTTGGTCTGATTGGTGTCAGGGCTCGGTCCTCAATCCGGGACAGCCTGACCTTGGCCCTAGGTGTGTGCAGTGTTCCAGGTGGCTGGGCACTAGACCCTGTCCTCAGCTCCTCAAACTCACTGAAGGGACTCCAAGCATGTTCCTGCAACTTGGAAAAGGTGTCACATGGGTTAAGGTGAGTTACTTGCCTTGACCCACGTGATTTTTCCTGCCAGCTCACATGCGGGCTGAAGCTGTGAGAGATATGTAGGGATGGGGAGGTCAGGGAAGTGGGGGAAGTCTGGGAGGGTAGTTCTGGGGTGTGGTTGGGTGCCCTGACAGCGGGGTCAGGGGCCAATCCCTGACAATCGGATGTGAGTTTCAGTTGGGATAGGGTTGTGGTGATGCGACGACGCTTCGCACTCTCGACAATATGTCACTCCTTTGGGTGACTTGGCCCCAAGTATGTCCATTCCTTTAACCATTCCGCTGCATAGCATCTTGAGAATTGATTTTATTGAGATGTGACCTAGGCATGTGTGCCATATGTCAAGTGATGCACTAGCGGTTACAGATTGTGCCACATTGGCACTTTCAGGAATGTCGGGGGTGGATATGAAGGCTTCCTCAGTAGCCACTACCTTTACAGGTAAGCAGAAGAGGCCATT